GCAAACGTATTCCTCAGACACATTTGGAATGGGGACACTAATAATAGTCCGCTTCCTCACCTCTCCAACGGGGAACTGAGGCAGACTCCTGACATGCCACTCACACCCTAGGCTGTGTCCTAACCACCTGACCACCTGTCTGCCTCACACACCAGAGGCAGACCTTCCAAGGAAGGACCCTCTTTGAACATGACTTTCTTTTCCTAGTTTCTAGTCCAGGGTGAGCCACTCAGAAGGTGCGAAATAAACGTTCGCTGCATGAATGCAGCTGTCCATCTTTCTCCCTCAGATTTCCAAAGCTGTGAACAAAGGCATTCACAGGCTAAGGGACTAGCAGCCCAGGGTCTTAAAGCCCAGCCAGGACGTAGCACAACCTGAACTCTGGATGCTGGATGCGACTGCCACGGCTTGGAGCTCCTCGGCCTCCGGGTGCTCACTCCTGCTCAGGCAAATCAGGCCTGGCCACCTGCAAACCTGGCAGGCAGCTCGTCCTGGGGTTTGAATGAGCAAAGCCTCTCTTATCTTAATCAGGAAATTAATTCCATTCAGCCTCGACTGACCTGTGGTCAGCCTCTCCTCAGGGGCTGGATGGGAGCAGGTAGAAAATAAGAAGGCGTTCTGTTTCCATCCCATCCCTGCATCCTACTCTGAGGACTGGCTGAGAGTCGAAGGTGTCTTCTGGGCAGCCAGAGCGGGTGGGGAGGGACGCCCATGGTGAGCGCGGTGCTCCCTCCAGGCAGGAGACGCAGCTCTCCCAGGGCCCTGCTCAGCGCCCGCCTCCATGTGGAGGAGCCATCCAGCTGGTCTTGCAGGAGCCTCACCTCGTGGTAAAGCCTGGTGTGCAAGAGGCAGGGAGCCCTGCACCCTCCCCGGGCCCCTGGGCTCTCTCACCATCCCTCTTGCTCCTGGGAGCTCTTTATCCATCTCTCTTCTCAAAGGTGGCCAGGCAGCTGAGCCCAGGGGACACCCTACAGGCTAGGTCCCACCCATCTGTTCCAAGTGGGGCAGGGTCACCCTAAGGGCTCCCACACCTGCTGCCCAGCTCCCAGCCCAGGGCCAGCCAGAGCAACCTTGGGAATGGAGTCCCCCACGTGCCGCCTTCCTTTGGCTGCAGTCTCGTTCTTCCTTGACCGAGTCCTCCAGCTTCACGAGCCCCTCCTCCGCAGGCACAGAAGGGTCCGCGAGCCCTTCACACCTGGATCACAAGCTCCAAGGCAGTGGGCAGAAGCCAGAAACCGAGCGAGGCGAACTCTGTCCCTCTGCAGTTTCTTGGAAAAGTCTGACTCAGCTGCCATTCACCCAGGAAAGAAGGGAAACCAGGAACTTACTTACCCCATGCCTCTCATTCTACAGGTGGAAAAATTAGCACCCAAAGAGGGAAAGTGACTTGTCCAAAATCCCACGGCACACATTAGAAGCAAAGTTGGAACTAGCACTCTAGACTCCTGACTTCTAATTCGGCCCCTCTGCACTCTACTGGCTGTCTCTCAAACTCTTTCTGCCCACAAGGGCGAAGCAAATAACTCAAGCCTTATACAACTACTTAACAGAGGCTGCGAGAACCTTTGAGATTTTACAGCAAACATTGAACAGAAGCATTGTACAGAAGAGCGTGCACCCATTGTACAGAAGAGGAAATCGACGTTCACAAAGGTAAGGGGACCTACACGAAGTCACACAACTAGGCAGGGGCAGAGCAGCACTCCCAGAACCCTATTTAAGTGCTCTTTCTGCCAACAGTTTCCCCACCTGTGGGATGGGGAAGAGAGTTGACTTCAGGCCTCAGTCCCACTGAAACAAGGTGTAGGCCAGAGAGCCTTGACCAGACTCTGTACTCAAGCCAGGGGCCAGGAGACCACTGAGAAGAGAACGGTTGTGAAGATTTTCATGTATTTGCAGGAAATACAGTAAAATTTCCCAATTGAACTGGATTTCTGAGACCACAGAGCTGGAACTTTTAACAACAGGCCAATGAGCGTGTCACGCGTGCCTGCCCTTTTTCATCCAGGAGGGCACTGACAGAGCTCGGAAGGCAAGCCTCAGCACTAGGAAAGAATAGGGTCTACTGGCGCCAGAGGGAGGGGGCCGGGTGGGTGGAGGTGGTGGGAACCCCAGGACAGGAGTGATCACAGACACAGGCAGCATCTGAACCGAAGTCTGTGTCCCGAATCCATGCTCTTCCCCCTGACCTTGTGCTGAAAAGAGTTACAGGGACCCCCTCCTGTCCCTGAGCCCTCTTTATGGGCCAGGTGGTCAGGAACCTGCTGTGGAGGCTGGGCTGACTTCCGTCACCTGGGGACAGACCCGGATTCCTAAGGGAAGGTCCTGCTGGGATGCTGTGAGTAAAAGCTGTGGATGCCGCCGTTCTCCCGACGCCCACTGCCGCCCCCGCCCCCAGCTGTCCCAACTAAGTGTTTTCTGGCTCGGAAAAACGCTTCAACAGCCCCGGCTGCCTAAGGCAATTCAATTATGAAATTTACCACATTAGATGAAAACCAGCATCTCAATCAGCCAATTCATTTGCATCTGGCCACTCTGTTTTCTCCTGCCAGCTCTGCCCGCCCCCTCCCTGGCCAGGCCACACCCACACCCTCAGGCTGGTCCAGAGGGACCAACGGCTGAGGCGAGGGGCCGGTCTTTGGCGCTGGTGGGGTGGGTTCCCCCAGGACCCAGGAGCAGAGAGGCTGCATCCAGGAGCCATCTATCTTCCTGGGGACTCCTGGGGTTGCTGACTCCACAGGCCAGACCACCAGAGTCCCAGGTGAACCTTTGCCATCGCCCCTTCTGCATTCTCCCTACCTCAACCTGCACCTGCCTGGAGGCTGGCAATGAAAATGGGCTCTGGGAGAAGTGGGAGTGGGTGGTGGGAGAAGGCAGCCGCCCAGGGCCTAGAACCCTCTCCCGCCGTGTGCCCTCCTGTGTCCCTTCAGCTCCCCTGGCTGCCTTTATCACCGGGGTACTGTGCACATCTCGGTGTGTCAGGGCTCCTAATCCTTGTGCCAGCACACCACCCACGCCTAGGAGCTCCCTGAAGGCAGGGTCCCAATCAAGATCCTTCAAACAATGAATCAATTAGCAAATGAATGAACCACCCACTAAACACCACTCCATCTCGACCTCCCAGGCAATAGATGGGGAGAACCAAGCCTACTTTCGCCGCAGACCTCGCAGTCCCAGGCGTGGGCAATCTTCCTCTTTCCTTCCAGCTCTCCTCTTCCCACACTGGGTGCCGGCAGGTTTAAGAGGCTGTTAAGGGGCATCAGGCTGCAGAAGCCATCTCCGATGTGGAGTGCACAGCTCGCCCACAGCTCCTCTCTCTTCACCACAAACATAAATCCCGCTGCAGCCTGAGCCCCAGGACAGAGGTTTCTACCATTTCCCTCTACCTTGCTTTTAACTCCTCCCTGGAGTCACTTCCTGACAAACGGAATGACTCAAGATGGAGATAACTGCCAGGCCTGGAAGAAGACTGACTCCATCAACCTCCACAGGCACAGCTTGGTGACCTAAGGACCCCCTGTCTTCGAAGGACACCAAATCTGTCCCCGGTGGGCTGGACCTTGTGTCCCACTTCTCCCCAGCCCCTAAGATCAAGCCTTACCAACAACCCTTAGGAATCCTAACAGCACACCTGGGCCCACTGAGCATCAGTCCTACCTATGAATGGGGAGACTGAGGCCAGGGTTCCAAAGGGCCTGGACCCCAAGTCATACGCACCAAAGTCTGGTCCACGATAAGAACATGGGGCTCCTGCCTCGTCTCCCAGTGCCACTGGCAGCTTCCCTCCCTCGGTCACACCAGCAGAGTGAAAGCAAAAGGACAGGACACACCTGGTGTTCTCCGCCCTGACTCACCAGGGAGGGCCAAAGCTCAGGGAACCTTCCCGGGCTCAAAGCAACCCAGCAGGACCCAAGAACGTCCAGATGGAACTCGCCGGGGCCTGGCTCTGCCCCCGCCCCAATTCCTTTGATCAGATCTCTAAACAGATTTGTCTTTGCTCAAAGATAGTGGAAACGAACTTTGGGGGCTTTGAGGCAGCAGCACAAAAAAGCGTCCGGTGGCCCTGGAGACACAGTGTCCTAAAAGAAAAGCTTCTCAAGCAACTCTGCGGCGGGGAAAAGAGGAGTGGGGGCGTGCCCAAGGGGGGGGGGGGGGGGGGTCCTAGAGCCAGGGCAAGACGGGGGAGGGGGACAGCAGGGCTGGAGGAGGCTTGCTCTGGACTTGCCAGGGTGGCTGCGACCACGGTGGACAGGTGAGTGGGCTTACAGCGTGTGATCATTGCTCTCCTGCTCCACAGCTCTCTAAACAGAGACAAGGGGCCCCGTCAGGAGGGACACGAACGCCCCGGGGGCTCCCGGCACGGCTCGCGTGGGCGACATTTCGCTGGTTTCACCCCTCGTCCCTCGCTCGACACGAGGCAGGCAGCCACCCAGCCCTCGGCGTCCAGCGCGCGGGGACGTGGCCCGGCCGGGGCGCAGAGCCCGGCGCTAGCATCCTCAAAGGCAAGCAGCCTCCTCTTTCCAGGATCGATAGTAATTTTTTAAAAACAGAGTCTGCGGACTCAATGAATCAACCACTCCCAGGGGAAAGAGTTGCAGCTCCCGCGCGCAACATCCATTTGCAAAACAATTCATTCCCTGGCCCAGAGCTCGGCGCAAATACCCTCGCCGGCTCTCCCGGCACGCGCGAGGCGGGAGGGGCCGGGCTTGGGGAGCGGGCGGCTGACTACGGTCCCCTCCCCACCATTGTCCCCGACTCCAGGCCCCCTGGACCCCGCGGGGACTGAGGCGGCTCCGGGCACCGAGCGCCCTGCGCTCCTCCCGCACGCGGCCCGCGGAGGCTCCCTCTGCCGGGGGCTCCCACGGCGGGGCGAGCGCACCCAGCGCCCCGGTCCCTGCCCGGGATCGTCGTGGGGGGGGGGGAGGTGGTGACAAGTGCCAGTGGCCCCACGCGGCCAGAGCGGCCGGAGGTCGCGCCCCCAGCCCAGCCCGGGTACTCACCGCTCCGGGCGCCGCCGCCGCGCTGCCCTCCCCCGGCTCCCCGCAGCCCGAGCGCGCCGCCGCCGCGGTACAGCCAGGCGCCGCCACCAAACTAGTTTCTCCGGCCTTCCCGCCCCGCCTCCCGACCAGAAACCAATCAGAGACGGCGCTTCTGTGACGGACAGGCGGCGGAACCTGTAGCTCCGTCCGCGGGAGGAGAAAGGGGTGGGTGCCTGGGCCGCGCCCGGCCCGCGAGGGGGCGGGGCCGGGAGAGGAAAAGGACTTCGACCAGATTCTTAAAGAGATAGCCGCCTGCCGGCCCCCGCGGCCCGAAGTTTGGGAACAAAACCGGACAGTGTTCTAGAGCTTTCCGAAGGAGGGACGTTTGTAGATTGCAAATGCTTCTCTGTACTCGGTCTGCGCAGCCACACTTTTGGTTGTGAAAATGTTAAGGAAACTCCTTCTTTTTACTCTGGGCTTGTTTCAATGTTTGGGATTTTCTGCAGCCACAAAACCCCCTCTGCACTTGCAATGTGTATTTTTCAGGATACTTCAGCTCTCCTAACCATGTCATTTCTCACTGAGTTCCTACTGTAAGTCAACCTTCAGATGTTCATGCATTCATACATCCATTCATGAATTCATTGCACAAACGGTACTGGACGCCTGCGGATGGGGTAGTCTCAGAAGGGGGATGCTCTGTAATTTCTTGTTCTTGCCTTCCGGGTTTGCATCTCACGCCACCTCTTCAGGTTGCTGCGTGTCCAGTTTCTTCATCTGTAACGTGGCAGGTAAAAAGTCATCATAGGATTACTCGCATTAAGGACAACAAAGTCAGTGCGCAATAAATATCCTTTCTTTTCTCCCTCCCAGTGAGAATTGATAGTTTAGGTAAGTCACCTAAGGATTGAAAAAGCCCTGATAAAGTACAGAAAGTACTAAGTATTGTAAGAGCCAAGCGTGGGGCGGGGAGAATTCCCAGGAAGCAGAGGTCACACTGATGGAAGGTGCCAGGTGGGTTTACAAAGGGAGAGGGCATTGAGCCCAAGTTTTGTAAGAGGGATAGGATTTTGACTGGTGGAAACTGGGAAAGAGAGCAAGTGGTAGAAAGCTGTTTAGACTGCACAAAAGAGATTCTAGGCTTACAAGGCTGTGAGATGATAGAGAAGACACCACTAGGGAAAGTATTTTGGGGGAAACAGTGTGGTGTAGAGAAAAGCAGCCGGAGATCTGGGTTTGAATCCAGGTTCTACCCCTCCAGAGCTGTGTAGGACTGGAGGCTCAGGCTGCTCAGGCTCTCTGAGTGTCGGATTCTTACTGGTGAAACCAGGATTCTTGAACCTACCTTGCAGGCTTATTGTGAAGATTAATAAGAGAACGTGTGTAACGGGCCTGGCACCGAAGCGTGTGCTCAAAATAGGTTTGTGTCTCTGTTTGGCCTAGATCCGGAGACCTTTAAGACACGAGGGTTCTGATATTTAAGAGCAGTCTCGGTCAGAGGGAAGAAGCTGGCCAAATGTGCCCTTAAGGTGCCTTCCAAGGGGAAAAGGCAGCTTGAAAATAATCGGTCCATTGAAGAATGATGATACAGACCACATTTGTAGTTTTAGCATCCTGCCAATTTTCTAGAGCTTGAGCGTTTATATAATTGTTGCTTGGATGAAGCTCCACATGCAAAATTGATTCTTAGCAAGTTCATAACCATCGTTTATTATTCCGTTCAGGTTCTCTGTGACATTATAAGTGCCAACCATCTAAAATCTGGTCCACATTACCATTTTCCCCCTCCCCAACGCTAAGGCTTAAATTAGGTACTGGAATATATTAAAATCAAACATAGGCAATGGAATGGAATCAGACCAAGAACATGTGTTGAGTTATTGAATTTAGATATGACTTGAAAGGAAAAGAGGAGGTGAACCTTGCTTTGCCATCTGTCTCAGTCCTCACTGTAGACTCTGGAGCGTAACCACCATCGTGGCCCCTCCTAGCTAGTGTTGTAATGACCACTTAGCTGTTAGTCCACCCCACTGCACAGGGAGTTCTGGAAGGACAGGAACCATGACATCTCTGAATCTTTGTTTCCTCACACAAGTTATCTACACAGTTTTGAAAAACTATGAATAAATCTCTTATCAGTTAGAATTAGCTTTTGCTACAGATGACAGAAAACCCAAAATAACTGTGAATTTTTAAATGACAGAAGTTTGTTTCTTGCTCATGCAAAATAAATCTGAAGTTAGGTAATCCATGACCGGTCGGCGCCTCCACAGTTATCAAGAGCATGGGCTCCTATATTTCCACTCTGCCATCCTTGATGCTCGTTTTCCATTTGCAGTTGCCTCATGGTCCAAGATGGCTGCTGGAGCTCCAGCTATAACCTCCATATTCAGACAGCAGGAAGGAATAAGAATAGAAGAGCAAATATGTGCCTCTCAACTGTGTTAGCTCCATTTAAGCAGGCTGCACAAGTCCCATACAATGCTTCCATTTACAACTTATGTAGACATTTATATGAGTGCATTGCCTCTCCAAAGAGAGTCAGGGTTCTTTTCCCAAGAAAGAGGGAACAGATATTTGGTGTCATCCAACAGTCTCGGCCAACACCCTTTTCTTTCCTCCTGGCATTGCCATCTGTCCAGTAGTCTGGTGGTTTGGAATCTAAAGTCTTAGAAATTTTGAGATGATGGACTGAATTCAATACATATGTGTTAATAGGTGATTTGGCTCTTGGTCCTTCTACCTCTCTGGATGTTCCTTTTCATTCTCCCCTGCTGATTTCTCCTTACTTCCCAGATATCCAAATATTAGAGTGCCTGGGAAGTGAGTAAGATGGAGAAGACCTCCTCCCTCCCGATGTCCACACTCTAGGTGATTTCCTCCAGGTCCATGCCTTCTGTTTATATAAACACTGGCAAATCCCAGATCTGTACTCCCGCCCCACTTCTCCATGAACTCCAGGCCCACAGCTGCTTCCTCAGCACCTTGGCTTGGATGTCTAGGGGCACCTCACCTTAACGCACACCTGTTGGGCTCCTGCGTGCTACCCTGCAAAAGATGTCCTGCCCCTCCTGTGGGCTTCCCCATCTCGGAAAAGGACAACTCAATCTTGTGCTCAAATAAACAAATCTGGGCACCATTCTCTCATACCCCACCTCCAATCCTCGTCCAGCCTGAGCACTTCTTACCATTTTCACTGCCACCACCAGGCTGGTCCAAACCACCATCATCTCTTGTCCAGGTCGCTGCAGCAGCCTCCCACCTCGTCACTTGGCTTCCACTTCTGCCCCTTAAAGTCGTTTCTCGAGACAGCGGCACAGAGATCTTTTTGCAACATATGTAATTGCATCTGTCCTCCCCTAAAAGTCCTCCAGTGGCTCCCATCTCACTCAGAGCAAAGCCAGAGTCCTTGCTGTTGGTCTACAGGCCTGACCTGACCTGGCCTGGACCCCCTGACACCTCATCTTTTACCTCCCTGCCCCTCCCTTGCTCAACTCTGGCCCCGCTGACCCCTTTCTAGGCCTCACACAAGTCAAGTCCCACTGCAGGGCCTTCGCCTTTGTGGGCTCCGCCCAACAGCTTTTCCTCAGATGTCCACGGGGCTCACTCCCTTGCTTCTTCAGGTCTCTGCTTCAATGTCCCCTGACCACCTTCTGGGAAGTAACCACGTTCCCCACCCTGGCAATCCCTGGCCTTACTCCATAGCTCCACAGCACTTATGTCCACCTGAAATTTTATGTTATATTAGTCACATCATGTTATACGGAGAGAAAGGGAGAGAGAATCAACCCTGACGTCTCGAGCTGGCCCCAAGGTGCAGCTGGGCCTTGGCGTTCTCCTGTTGAACATAAGTAATTTCACAAAATATCAACATCAGACAAGGCCCCTCTGTGACCACGATGGGTCAAGACAAAGACAAAACCACTCCATAATCATGTCTGAAAGCAGCGAAACACAAGCATGGCATTGTCCAAGCCACAGAATACGCAACATCTGCCTCTCCCGGTTAATGAGCGATGGCTGCTGTTTCATTGGTGATAGCTCCGGCCTCCATCTGATCTTGCTCCTTTTAGATAAGGTTTGTGGAGACACCCATCGTAGGCTCATCCCTGCTTCTGACACACCCAATCCAGAGCAAACCCCACTTCCTTCAGCCCTCTCCCAAAACACCCAACCAGAGCCAGAATCCTATTATAGGTTCTTTCTAACACCCTGGTACCGAGACAAACCCTTGGTGTGCGGTCTCCCTTGTTGCAACAAGTAACAAACCCAACTTGTTCGTCAGCGGGTGTTCCTGGCTGACACTACAGATACATACATACATGTGTTAAATTGGGTATGGGGGCATTTAATTGGCTGTCAGCTCTCCCAGAATGTACATTTCACTCACTGCTCCATTTCCAGACCTAGAACAGTGCTGGCACATAGATGGCTCTCCATAAATATTTATTCAGTGAATTCAGAATGAATTGAAGGTAGCTTCAGGGGCACTGTTAGCCACCGTCAAGTCAGTAGTTTCTGATCTCAGGGTTGGAGAAATTCAATCAAGTCTTCAATTTCTGGTTAAGCTACCAAAAGATGAACCCCTGGTCAGGCGGGGCCTGCCCAGGGCAGGGCTGTGGCAGGAGATGGCTTTGTCAGCTTCGGTTCCCAAGGGAGGGGCAGGGTGTCAGTGTCTGCCCTTCTTAGGGAGCAGCTGGAATCAAGGTCATCGCTGAGTCACAGCTTCAGCCCTGGGCGCACAAAGAGCAGGGCAGGACCTGGCGGGAACAGAGGCTGCGGGAGGCGGGAGGGTGTCCTGCCTCCTCCTGGTGGCAGTGTGGGGACAGCATGAGGAAGAAGCCCTTTGAGCTCACTGCTCCGGGTGGTCTCCGTTCAGCCGTGCCCATGAAGCCCCCTCCCCCATGTCCTCTCCCCACACCATCAGAAATGCCCCAGCTGAGACCTTTACTTGACATAGCAAGCATCCTCGTGCTTCTGTACCGTAAGTGCGTACTGGTGGTACGGGAAGTGCTCCAGCGGTAACAACTTTGGTCTCTGGGGCAGCGGGCATGCGCAGACACATGAGGGAGGAGATGTAGATGTCCAGGGCCCAGACTGCGATGCCAGCAGTGGAGGAGCCGGACTGAGGGGCTGGGAATGAGGTGCAGGA